TTTGCTGCCCTAAAACACTCTGTTCAGGCCACCTTGAAAATAAAGGTCTTGTAGCTACAATTCTGTTCCCAGGTATGGCGCGCATCAGGCTTCACAGACAGTGGAAATAGCTTCTTCCCGGCTTTGCACTGCGAATCAGCCCCACAAAAGCGCTGGCTTTCGTTTTGCAGCTTCTCAGGTATTATGTTTTCTTTGTAAACTGGCGATTCTAGACTGAGTCTGTTAAAGGGACGCCTGGCCCAGCATCACTGTTAGCATCACTAGTTTGGCAAGAAAAACAAAACAGGATCATCGATAGAAGTACTGAGGCACCAAAAATATTGAGTGTTTGTAGTTTTGTGACTTTGTGATGCTATTTGCCCTCCATCTGGATCAGCATACTTCTTTGACATGGTTATATTGCACGCCTCAAGACCATCATTTCAAGAGTCCTTTTGGTGTCGACGCGCGCTATGGCAGAAACCTCTCAAGAGAGCACATCACAGCATGGCTATTTGACTTGACCATCGAAGCAGGGGTATGGTCTTACATTTTGCCCGCATTCCCCTTCCTGGTCGTGCGAATTTCCACTTTTTTCATGAACTGGGGTCATGAAAGTTACAAACGACAGTTCTTACGTCCCTGAAATCATCATGGAAGTGGAACATGGCCCAATTTTTTCGACCATGTTCCTCATCCCAAACAGGTGGTGCCATCCTCATTCCATGCGAATGACGGAGTGTACTCAGATCGATGATCGATGTACTTACAGAGCATCTATATACCGTGACAATGCGGCACCAGCATCTTCCGTAGTGTGCTGAGCTTTGTCTGGTCACCGTGGTGTCGACCGGTGACCCACCGTGTCGACCGACGCCGCGCTGGCCGAGCTGCGGGCTTTCGCGACTAGGTGGGCGACCGACTGGACTGCGCCACTCGGAGGGATGGAACTGGACGGGCAACTGCGCCGCTCGGTCGTCCATGATTCATTCACCGAACAAGCATGGGTTTTTTTAAGTTGAGAGGTAGAGGAACCCGACATGTTGGTTTCTGAGCTGCAACCATGGTCCATCCAAGTGAAATTCTCTGTTTTGTTGTAACATAGATCCGCTGCAATCAATAGTCAAGTCATGTCAAGTCACAAGTCTTCTATACTTCGTCACTCCTTTTCATGCTTAGGGTGCCCATCCGTATGACCCTGCGACGCCATGTGCTTGGCAATCCTGTTTGACCCAATCACCCGATATGGGATCTTGTGCCCTACAGGTCCCTGACCAAAATCAGTCGGCTGTTCTCCGCAACCATGCACAACCCATCGGTTTCTGTGAGTTGTGACCACCATTACTAAGGTCGTCAAGGAGGTCGAATTGGAGAAACACCGCTTTTGCGTGACCTTACATGATGTGTGGCTCCCAAGAACTGCTTGTTGTGGCTCACGTCGTCACGGATGAGGTCGAAACTACTACCAGCGCCATTGTAGCTATACTCGAAAGTGGAAAGAAAGTGATGATGGAGAGCAGTTCAAACATCGTTCTCCCCAAGAAACGTCTTCCACAGTTGTCCAATACCCCTGCGGATACTGTCAGCCTTTTCCTCTGATGTGCTTGGTTTTTCCTGCAGCAAAGTGCAGTGCGGTCCACGCGACCGTACGACCTTCGAGAAATGCCCGTTGATTTACGTGGTTTTGGGGTGGCCGCCATGGCTGAGAACCTGGTTCTCATCTCCGAGTCATGAACATGGAAGTGGTGGCACCACCCATTTGTAGAAAAAATAAATCTTACATGCAGGAGCATATGTTCTTTCCACTGATTATTTCAGTGCAATTGTGCAGACCGGGGATGCCAGAAGCTGATGGTATAGTTTTTGTCTCAAGTATTGTTCCAGTCTGGTTCTTTTTCTTTGCATGACATCACACTCAAAGAGCTTCTCTTCAAAACCAAAGAGTTGTGCTTCTCCCTCCCACGTCGCACGCGAACGTGGCACGTGTGGCACGTGTGGCTCCAGGCTGAGGCGGAGCTGGCGGAAAATCGAGTCCCATTGGAGGCCGCGCGTCTCTCGCACTGCTCGAGAAGCCGAGACCGTGGTGGCGCGGGTGCTTTGGACGAAATGGTATTAGAAGTGCGGCAGTTGGAGGAAAGCTTCTCAATGCGCTCTTTGAGCCACCCATCCAATGCTAGTATGGGCGACACAAGCATTGAAAGAAGACCGGGGGCGGTCATGGCGTGGTGTTCCGCGGTGTGTGGCTGCTGCAGGGAATTGGCTACGGCCAGACATTTCCCAATTAATATGTTGGGAGGGTGCCAGGGGGGGGTCTAACCACTTTTTGAGGATCTGGGAGGATCTGGTGCACTGCGCAGTTGGTGGAATCATTAGATATTTGACTCGAAAGGTATAGACTGGTCTATTTCCCGACCTCCCAGCGGGTTGCCCGGGAAAACTATCCCTAGTTTAACACACACCCATACATTGCCCCTTGTATGGGTTCAACACCAAAAGTGAACACAAATTCACACAAATCTCAATTCAGGTACCAGTTCTGCTGCTTCCTCCACAAACAACATGTTTTCCTATATAGTTTTGTGTTGCCAGACTTCGATCCCATTCGATCCCCGCGGTGTAAACATCTTCATGCCAGGATCTGGCGGAAGGCGATATGGTGCGCATTCCAAGTGGTTTTGCAGTCGTGGAGTCATGAAAACCCAAGCACAATGGCAAGACAAACTATCGAACATAGGATCCCTCGATGAACTGTGCACAGATTTCGGACTTGTGGAGAAAGCAAGGCATAGCAAGGGTAAATCCTTAGGGCCAGACGACCATGCTCGGGTCGGCTCTGTTTTTTTGCAATCCGCTATGCTGCGCCTAAGGTCGATGGTATCATCGACCATACCAATCCGTATGGGATTTGGGTGCCTCAATGGAGCACGAGACATGGGAGTGGAAGCATAGATTGCCTTGGTTGCCTGATGAATCGAAGGGATAATTCGAGTCGTGTACATATTGGTACCTGGCACTTACCCCTGTAGTGCTCCCAAGTACGTACACCATTGAGTGGAAGCCTTCATTGGACTCCCGAGCAAACAGGCGATCCCATCGGGGGGGATTGGAGGAGCATGTTGCGGATACGTTAATACGTTGTGGAAGTCTCTACCTGGCAATTGAACAACAATATCTAAACCTGTGCTGGTGGTACCAAGTGGTACCTGACTGTCAACCAACAACCTTTGCAAAAAAAGACTGCTATGACATGCAAGTGTGCATCCGGACGTCCCGTGAAGCTTCTGGACCGCTTTTCTCAGCTCCTTTCAGCTTGACTCAGTTTATCGAACAAATCTGCTAAAGGCATGAGATTCGTGAGGTGAACATGGAGGGAACATCTGGGAGTTATCTAGAGGATTGAAAGCCCCTCCCCCTCCGTAGCTTGGCCTTGCTGCATCGCTTGCACCCCAAAGTCCAAGTGAATTTGCTTGTTTTGGCTCACAAAGTCTCTTCTTTCTACCCACGGCAGGTCCGATGGCAAGAATCCAACATAGTTTCGTTCCTGTATACATCACAATCGCGCCCTAATCATCCCAACACATAATACTAGTTTAGTATTATATCATATTCTCATTGAGAGGTGCTTGGGCCGACGAGCTCACAAAATTCACGCTTTACTATCGCCCACCCCGTTGCCACCCCGAGTACATGCAAGAAAAGGATCCAAAGTGGGCCTCTAGCTTTGGAGCCAAATGTGTTCGATGAACACTGCTCATCTGATTTTACCTGTTGGAGGTCTTTGATTCTTTGATGAATCTTTTTGAAACACGCCCCAAATCTTCATGGCACGAGCGGCAACCCCCCACCCCACTGGTTACCGATCACACCGCTCTGTGCAAAGCGGTTCTTTACCAACCAGTGACGAGGTCAACGTGGGCGCGGAGGTCATCGGCCGACTCAATGTGTCCAGGAAGTGACTTGGAGCCCAACGTGGCAAGCCTCTTCGATCCATTTCGCATCATCTATTTGCTTTATAGCAAAAGAGTAAGCTCAGTTCTTTGGCTATTTAGCGGCCAAGTTTTGTTTGAGAGCTTGTTCATGAGAAATCCTTTGTCTATTGGCCAAGTATTTAATTTATAATGGTTGCTTGGTCAAAAGAACTTTGCATCGAGTTCGCACGATTTCACCCTGCTTCTTTGGCATAAAACAATCATCACGTCCAACAACCTCCAAGCAGGTTCACCCACCACCTCGTGCCCGGGCAATGCATCCGCGACATCATCATCCAACGCCGGGGGGGCCGACATCGTCCGTCCGTCGCGCTCGGTTCTGCGACTCGAGAGGGCCCTCAAGTCGGTGAAGGTTTGCTTCGGGTCCCAAACCCTCCAGAAGTAGTCGGGTCCAATGATTCTTAGGGCTTGACGATACGCATTGGCACCCAAGCCTCGACCATGTCGTGCACCTTCGGACCGTCCGGACCCGTCCCCAACGGCACCGCGCGGACTGACGGCCGTCGAAGGCGTCGATTTGAAGGAGACGAAGCTGGGGCTCACCTTGGAAGATCCCGAGGATCGGGGGGATTCGACGCCGTTCGGAGAAGTCCCGGGACCCGGTTGGGAGTGGACTGTCGAGTATGTCTATATGTTTTGTTCTTTTCTGCAGTATATATTCAGGTCACTGGAAGGGTTGTAGAATCCGCAGAGATGGTCAGCTTTGGAATGTGATGGATGGACCTGATGGATTTTTGGGGTAGAGGAATTTGAGCTGCCATGTTGGATGGATGAAAGTTAGCTGAAGGAACGTGAGGGACACGCCACGTGTGGTGCATTTTCTTGAAATCGCACTTGTCACAAACAGCTTGGTGGTTCCACATCTTTCTTGTGACTTTGAATGGGAGGCCAGTTGGGTGGGGGCATGGTGAGGTCATCCTGTTTTGGATTTCCTAAACATGCCCAAACCCAGAAGCACAGCAGTGAGCATGTATTTAAACATCTCCCTTGGTCCTTGGTCATCACTTGTTGGAACATCACTTTCCGGTCCCCCTTGAGGTGAACGGTGTCGCCGGTGTCGCTCGAGTAAGGGCACATCCCCACCCCTAGATTTGTGGATCGGGTGATGTTTGTTTAAATATATGTTGAACCTATTTCGCTGAATACTCCCCTTCTTGGCAATATCGTTTGTGCTCGTTGATTTGTTCCCAGTTCCAGTTCATCCAAACCACGGCTTGGGGTTAGCTGTCAGCCCAAGCCGGCTTTCATTCATTCCCATGCATTCCCACCCACCCTTGGCCGAGCGAGGGGGGAGGTGACATCTTTCAAAACCTGCGCCAGGTGCTGCTCCGGGAAACCGTCATGGCGCGGGGATGGGTTGGGTGGGTGGAACACCAGGGCAGTGGACGAGTCATGGGACGTTTGTGTTGGGGGCTTAAGACCAAGAAAGCGTCAAAAGACCATATATAAGACCCAGGTTTTGACTTGAGTTCCCTCATTCTCAAGAATCTCCTGAAAACACTGGGAAGTCCTTAAACATCCTTATAAATACTCATGTTAGACCTTTTAAACACCCGACCACCGTTCTTTTCACTTCTCGGGAGCTTCACGAACGAACTCGAAGGCGAATCGATATTCCAAACGACTCATCCTAGTTCTGCCGAAGTTGATGTTGATTCGTCTGAACTGGGTGACATCTCACTTTCCTGGGCCTGGGATATGTTATTTTTTGGTAATTTGTTTCTTCCATATGTTTTCCCGGTTCCTGAACAAATCCAAGTGCTGGACAGCCGCAGATCAGCGACCTCCTGCGGCCGGGCGCGAAGAAGCAGCCCGACGCGCCCAGTGTGCAGCCGGAGTGGGCCGAGCAAGCCACAAGGAAGGCCGAGCGGCAGGAGACGTGTTGGGATGTGTTGGGCCAATGTTGGAGGTGTTGAATCTGAGGGTTTTAAGTGGTAGTGCATCCAACTCATAGGACCCTTAAGTCGCAAAACAGCATCCCCCCTTCAAGTGTGGCTACAGACGCCATAGATCCAAACCACACACGCCAAAAAAGAACCTAGTCCAACAGACGACTCACCTTTCCCTCCCTGAACCTTAACTAGGGGCTCCTGCCCGTACTACTAGGAGCAAGGACGCTAGTAGAAATGGGGTGTGTAGCTCCATCGGCAGACCCCCCTTGAGGACCGACACGGGCGGGCGGAGCACCGCCCGGGCCGCGGCGATATCGCCCGGAGCGAGCGGAAGGAGCTGGGCCGGTCGACAGAGGCGACGAAGGGGTTGGGGTTCTGTGGTTCTGTTTGAAGCTGAGACACAAACCTGCTACAAAAGACATAGAGAAAATTGAAGAAACATGATGACATACATACCATATATATATAATATTAAGATGATTTATGGTGAAATGGAGAAGAACTTTAACCTTCTATATATTGGTTGAGGCGTCCCTATTTTGCAAAGCCAATTGAACATTTGACTGACTGGGTTGTTCTTTCTTGCGTGGTCCTCCTAGAAAAGCACAAAGAACTTCATATTTGTCGCTTGTCTTTTGTCGAGGACTCTTAAACTCGCTGGTCGTGGCTCATGAGTCTTTTCTTCAGCACAAAAACTGGGTTCAAACAAATCGGATCAACATGGTTCCATCCGTCGTGCCCATGATGTTTGTCCATCTTCATGCTAAATGCTTTGCTGTCTCGTTTGGCTTTTCGAAGGTGGGACAGGATGGGTGCCAGGAGGGTCCAGTCATACCCTTAGGACCTTAGGAATTCACCCACCACTTGGAGCCTCCATCAAGCGCCTCAGCATCTCACACAGCTCACTCCAGGCGCCTCAGTTGCCAGCTCCGTCGCTGCCACCCTCATGGCCGCGGCCCAAGCCACCCAGCGAGGTGGCGAGTGAGGTGCGCTCAACGTTGCAGGAGCGCCCCAGGTTTTCACGGATGGGGTCTGGGGGAGCAGGATGACTGGATTGGTCATAGAGTTGGAGGCAGACATGGAATCATGGAAGGATCACTTGAAGTCTATATGTACAGTTATAGTCCTTCAAGTGACTTTGTTTGCTAAATATAGTCTATATATATAGTCATGATTTATACTTATATAATGTATGTTTGTTTGCCTTTGTCCAGGGCCCAGGGGGCCCAGAGGTATCAACGATTGCCAATGCAGCTTTGTAGGACGTTTGTCGGCCATAATTCACAAAGGCTGCATAGACAACTTTGATAATCTATAAGTTGGTCAGCTGCAGTTGTTGCTCTCCTTGAACACGTGAAAGTCGTTTGTTGCTCCATGCCCAGAGTAGGGAGTCGGTCAATGTTCACCCGTTCCTGAGCTTATTTGCATGGTTTCAAGTGGTGGATTCTTTGCAAGTGCTGGGATGTATCAAGAGATGGATAGTCTCCCGGAACCTCTCCAACCAGATGTCTCTTTATTAACGCCCTTTGCTCTCATATTAGACATGAGTTTCGTGATCCAGCAAAGCGGAGTGTGTGTCCCGCCTGTATCAGCTATGCTTGGAAACTGGAGCACTCTCAGAAGGGGCACCATGTTCTATCTCACATGATGTGGATGTGTATTTTTCTAGGAAGACCCCCCAGCCAAGTTTCCTTCATCTCCTTTTATTGAAACCTTCTTTGAGAACCCCTCCTATAGACTAGCCAACCAGCCAGCGACTTTTTTCCGGGTTTCCCCGGCACATCTTTTGCGGCTTCGTTTCACCCCATGAAGACATCCGAAAGCAAGACCCCCCCAGACCGACCAGGACTCTCTTGAGACAGGGAGCAAGTTGCGCGTGGGAGGCTTGTCGTGATAGAGGATGCTTTGTGACCGCAGGGTGTGATCGCAGCAAGTTAAAGAAGCATTCAAGTATTGAACACATACAGTGTTGTTTGATATCTATTGGATCATGTGTGGAATGCTCTTCAGGTCCTCTCACAAACTGGAAAATGGTTTTTTGGATCAGCTTTTCCCGAATACCAAACAGGTGGTGCCGTCCACTTCTATTACATGGTTTGACTGATCATGAATCCATGAAGACTGCAATGAAGACTGGGACGCTTGTCAAAGGAGCTCATATGACACCTGCAATGCTGATTCTGAGGTTGTTAAACTTAGGTTCGAAGATCTGGAAGTTATGGCCATCCTGCCAGTGCTGCGGACCGTACCCAGAGAGACGGGTGAACGAAAACGATGCTTTTCGCGCAGTGGTCAAGCCGCAAGGATTCCGGGCCGGTGGCCCATTGATTTAATAGCCAAAAGCGCAACCATTGCTGTACGGTAGATTTCAGAGAACCAAACAACACCAGGTCAACTTGTTTGTTGACTATCGCGGCGCGTTGCAAGGTCGAAGCCAAACGGCACCTACAAGCAACACCAGGCCAACCAAACTAATTGAAGGGTCGAAGCAGGTGCAGCAGCTCCCATGGGTCAAAACGGGACAGAACTGAGGACAGTTTGTGGATGGCCTAGTGGTGGAGGTGTCAGCCAAAGTGGCCTGGAGACCCAGGTGAGAAGACGAACAGCAAAGGAACTCACGTGGAAGTGGAATACCCCCCAGTTTCTGTTTGTAGATGAAAATGGTCTTAAAAGAAGCCATGTTCATCCATGTACATCAATTTTCCACTTCCAGGTGTAGTTCCAGGGAGTGTAGTTGGAGTTTTAGTCTTTTCAGGGTGAACATTCCTTGGTAATACCCCGAAATGGCCAGGTGACGTGTTTGCGTCCATAGAGACACCTTTCCAACATTCTGTTTTTCCTCATTGAACAAAATTGAAAGATTCAAATTGAAGTTCCCAGATCAAAGCATTTGGGTAGCTTGGATCAACATCTGAGTGTTGGTCAAAGATCTGAGGCCCAAGACCATCCTACAAAGCCGTTGACCTTGACAAACCACTGCAATTCGCCGCTGAAATGCGCAACTGACCCTCAGGTCATGGTGGACATTGGCCTGGGTCATTTGGCTGCCCTCGCAGGGGATTCCCAGAGACCCAGCGAGACCCAAGTGCTTGGGTACAGCGTGTCAGAGGAGGATTAGAAATCGTTGTGAAAAAGAAGATCCAAAGTTGCCAAAAGGATCCAAAAGGTATTGTGTTCTTGGGTGTTTGAATCCTTCTTACCGATTCATAGCCTTTGATTTCATTCAACTTGGTGATGCGTCAGCAGCTCGCTTGGAAGCACGCTTGTCAACCCCCCCAGGCCGTGGCTCCCTCCATCCGCATGCAGATCCAGCGCGGTGACGAGATCCAAGGCGAGAGCGGCGGGCTATGACACCGGGAGCTTCGTTGCCCCGGGAGCTTGGTCAACACCTCCCAGGTAGCCTGGTCATTTCCGGTGGGAAAGAAAACAGAGCCTCCCAGGTAGTCTGTGGGCACTCCTCCCAGGTAGTCTGCCATTTGTCTCTGATTTGTCTCTTCCCTGTGGTACTTGTACAGGCTGTGGAAAGAGTCCTCACGATACAGGAAGGTCATCCGAGTGGCTTTCCTCCGTCATTTTTCGTTGTACAATCGAATAAGTACTTTGCATTATCAACCCTGCAGATGGTGCTGGAATCTGAAGGTAAGGCTATCAAACTCGAAGGGAACCTTTGTTGGTAATTGACCATGCAGATCATGCAGCAAAGTCCACCTTCTTCCTATTCTTCCGTGTGCCAGCTTGTGCCTTGAGCATGTAAGTGGAAAGATAGTATGGTGACCACCCAATAGATTGGAAGCGCCTGAATGGTGAGGGCATGCGTTGTGGACACCTAATTACCTAATTATAGAGTTTGTATTCTGTTGTTCTTGGTGATTTTTTTCGGGTGAATAATTGAACTGCTTCACTAGTGTGTCCTGATGCATGGTGTTGCTTTGACGAGTTTGTCAGGCATGCGCGTGGAGCGTGTGGATTGGGACGACGAGCGTCAAAAAGGCACTCCCAGCTGGCAGATGGGGAGTGATTGGTTAATAATATACTCGTCCTTTAGAAACGCTTGAAAGGTACTGGTCGAAGTTACGGCTGGATCCTCCACAGGCCTGGCCATTTGGGTGCCGTGATAGCAAGTGTCGCTCTCAGTCACCTCCTTTGACCAGTTAGAACGAACTTTAGCACCTAATTATCCTGATTGTCACCTGCTCGGTGCTCGCTTTCGACGTTTGCTGGTCACGCAGCAAGATCAAGAAAGGTTGGTACATGTTGGTACAAGCAAATTGCGTTCAACGGCAGATGAACTAAGTGAGAAATTGCTTTCTGTGGAAGGGGACAAGGATAAACATACTGAGTCCAAGTGGGGTATTTTGAGACTCGGGGAGTCAAGGACCAGGTTCCAAGGAAACCACTTCGTGTATCGGATTCATTTCATTCTTGGGGACAAGCAGCAGAAACCAAATCACCTTGACCTGACCTCCAAACTATGGCACTTCTCCTCCCACACATCTACTGTACTTGCCTCCAGTCAGAAGCCCGTCATGTCAAACAAACTGGTCTACGCTTTGGGTGGGACAGAAATATTTAAATAAGCACAACTCCAATATTCATTTGGGGCGGGATAGGACTATATACAGTCTAGTGTTTCCGCAGTGTGTTTCCCCACCACCGACTTCCATTTGCTTGATCCCATGTTCAGACATGGCCCCTATAACAAAGCTTTCTGGACTGGACCATCCAAGGGGTCTCCAATCGAGTACACAAGGTGGGCTTCCATGGATTTCATGTGGATCCTAATAGATCCATTGTGCACCCATTGGATGGTCGTACCAAGCATCTTTCATTTCGAGATCCCCACCCGTTTGGGCGCCGAGGCCGGTGGGTGTCACCGGCCCCAAACACCGCAGGCGCCGTGGTGCTCTCACTGGAAGACCCTGAGCTGGCGAACGGCGGTTCCCCGCACGGGTGCGCTCCACCGAAACGAATGCTGGGGGAAGTGGGGGGGTATGGCGAGCACCTGGTGAATCATGGATCATAGGAGATGCAGGTAAATGATGTGAAGGACATTTTATACATAGCAATCATAGCATTATTATATAGCTTTTTGGTTGGCAAGGAAAGGCAGCAGTGTCCGTTTGGGGGCAGTCGAACACTTGCCACTCGCCGCTGAGTGTCCGTGGCCACTATGGCAATTGGCGGTGTACGATCTTTTGGAAGATTCCAATGTCATTTGGAGACACTGGTTGAGCAATGGCATGCAATGGCGCAAAAGCCGATGGAAGTATAGAAGTATAAGTTGCTTCAGTCCAGAATTCATTGCGACCTTTTCCTGGCTGAGGGATAGAGCATGATAGAACCCTTTCTGGAGGAAGTCTATTTTTCCGATGTATGTCTTAACTCTTATATAACTCTTTGTTTTAGACGTGGGAATGGGGCGAAGGAGGTAGAACCACGAAAAGCTTCAGACACGAAAGAAACCCATGGCACAAACAAAGACTCCATAAGTCCTAGCATTCTTTGACCGAAAACCACGGCCGAAGAAAAGCACAGGTCGACCGGGCTTGGTCATCCGTGGGAGTTGATCTGCAAAAAAAAAACAGGATGTGGGTCCAGCTCTGGAGTGCTGTGTTGTGTTTTTTTTAGTGTGGGGAGACTGATGGGGGTTGAAGGTGGGCAGATCGAGGTGTTGCAACGGCAAGCCTCAAAGCAAAGCAGCTGAAGTCATGAGTTGTTTTGATGTTCGTGTTGCAATCCCGGACATTCCCGGACCAAAGCAGAGAGTATAATGCCTGGGGTCCCGTTTGGTAAACCTTTGATTTCATGCAGGGTGGACAAAAGTTACGGGATGACTGGATGGACATGCCACAGGGCCGAGTGTCTCTTGCCCTGAACAAAGAAGTACCTATAGCATCATATATTCACATAATCAATCCCACAACCGTTTTTTGGATGCTTTCCTGCATGAGTAGCCACTCGTTACTTTGTCTATTTCTTTTTTTTTTGGTGTTCTTTCTTTGTCTATTCTTTGTGGCTCTCTTAGTGATTTCAAACAGATATCAGATATCTGGACATACTTTCATGGTCACCTAGATTGTGGTGTTTTGAGGGGTCGGCCAATGTCAGTTCACATTCGTAAGAGAGGAAGTGAGTTCAAAGGAATGCAGGTTCAAAAGGAATTCAATCACAGATGGGGTGACCAAAGCAAAAAAACAAGTGACCAAGCACCTTCTCAATGTTGTTGACCAATCAGAGGAGGCCTAAGTGGAGGGCGGTATTCCCGTGTCAGCCTTGAATACATGTGCACCAACCGTATATGAACATCATGAAACACATGAAACATCATGAAACAACACATGATTTGGAAAATTTATATACACATGCAATTGATAGCAATGTAGTGCAATAAGATTGGACAACGGTTTGACAAAACCACATACGAAACCTATCCCGACGTGTCCAAGACTTCCCGATGCCTCCTCGTTCCGGTCGTTCGCGCGAGGCCCGAGGAGGATTGGAGGCCTTGGAGTTGGAGCCGATGGAATTCCTGGTCGCTGGGCTTTCCGCGATGCGATGACGAGGGTTGTGGGTGTTTAGAAGAGGGAGAACAAGGTGTGGTGGATAAGAAGGGATGGGCATGTTGGAGGATTACAATGTCTTTAAATGTGTTATTTTGAACGAGACACGGACATAAGCTTACACCAGGAGACCCTAAAATTCACAGCTGTAGGCTGTAGCTCACGAATCAGTTTCAGCATGCCGACTGGTCTTCAGGAGTTTCTTTAGGTTGCTGAACGGTTCATCACCAACAGAGGTTGAAGGACCCTATAGACTCTAGACTATCCCATAGGTACCCCAGGTGACGGGTCCTATAAGGTCACTTAACCTCTCTTGGCAGGAAATGAACTGGACAGCAATTCATTTCTAAGTGAACAATCTTGGGATGGGAACTTCTCCTGCAGAAGATGTGGGGCAATGCTGATCTTGGCAGATCTGCGAGATTTGCATGTGGAGTGTGTGTGTTGCCGGCGTCGCACAAGCGACCACTGATGGTGGGGGTGGGTAGATCGAACATGGACACATGGAAGAGGAACCATAGGAATCTGTTCTATTCAAAAGCATCCCAGATGTCATAAAGAAAAGCTGTTCAGCGTTCAACATCCCCATGTGCAGCCATCCACAACCTACCTCGCGCTTGCTAAGGGACCATGCTTGGGATCGGTGGCACGACTGGAACGAGGTGGGCGGAAGACAGTGAGGCTTTTCAGCCAGACGGATCATGGCTGTCTTTTTTGGAGATCCGACAGAACCCCCGGCTGAAGAAACCACGTCTTTTAGAGCTTTGGAAAGGAAATAGAAGGGGAAGAGTGGTGAGGAGCTTTCAAAATTGGAACCCTGAAATCGGGAGTTTCTCAGGTTTCTGCTCTGCAGCCCTGGGCTGCCTCTGCTTCTTTGTGGGCTGTTCTGTTCACTTGTCATCGTTTTATGACCTTGAGGCTGGCCTGGGTTCAGCAATAGGTCTTGTCTCCAATTCAGAGTCCTTCATTACACACCTCGACTCCGTGTGACATGGTTACGTGGACCATTAGATCCTATTTGGACATCCCAATTTTCTGAAGAGCCTGAAGATGCGCTTCAACATGCTTCAACTTGGAACCTTTGGACATATTGGAGATGGTGGAGAGTGGGAAATCCTTCAGATCTCCAAGATGTTGGACTCCCCAACATCACCGCCAAACAGGACGACGAGTCGTCTTCCTCTCGAAACAGGGGGGGTGCCATGTAACTCTGACTCCACTCCCAAGCGATCGAAGAAGTGGCGGCCATCCTGGCGAGCTTGGCTTCGGATGTGTTGCGTGGATGTCCCGTCCGACACTGGGACCGATGATGTGATAATACTCAGTAAACATCCATATACCTGCTTTGGGAAGGTGATAGGGGTGTTTCTTTTTTGAGGTGGGAGAACCAGCTTTGCACACCTGCCCTTGTTCAGCATTTGGCCACATTCAGCCCTAGGAAAAGATGTCACCAACTCATTTTAGCCAGAACCAAGGGCTCCCGGCTGCTGGGGTCAGTTTAGCGAATGAACAACTTCCTATACGAGCTGTATTTCTGGCCGACTTCACCAAGTCAGGTCTGCATGTACGATTCGGCTACTGTCGGCTACTGTCGGCTCGAGGCTGATCGGAGCTGGTGGCAGTGGCGATGACGAAAAAGTCGAAATCCATGCGGTTGAGAATGCCGGCTTTGATCGGCCAGGTGGATCCAGAATGGTCGTCGAACGTCGAAACTATTGGTGATCTTGAGGTAGGTATCTGCACTGCAGTGCACTAGAACATGGCATTTAAAAATGCACCTGTCGTACTAGCAGGCCGAACTTCCGGTTCCCGGTTCCCGAAGGGGTTCCATACAACGCGTACGAGAACACGATGTTCCAGAGCAGAGAGACACACCCCTGAAAGTGCCAGATGTATGTCTCGTCTATCGGTTTGTCCCAGTAAACCTGTCCCACAGGCCATAGGACAGACCCATCAAGCACGATGTGAATGTTTGAATGACCAGACTGGGATCTTTGAAGAACTCTTTATGTTTCCCAGATTCCCAGGTAGGTGGGCTTCCAACAAGTCTTTCAGGATCCAGACACTCTTTGTAGTATTTGTTGCCGCTTGTTCCAAGGACCCTGGGTGCCCCTTTCCAAGTTAATGCCGTGCAGTTGCTGAATGTTTTTGAGGGGAAGCCACAACTAGCCTTCAAACAATTCAAGTGAATTCTGAAAGTGTCACTTGTCTCAAAACAATGTGGCTGCTTCTAGTGCCGCTTCTATAATAATATCTATAGTATGGATCTTAATGGCCTACGTGGATACTCCCGACCTCATGGGCCTGTGAAAGGATGGATGGCTCAAAGCTTGTGCTACATAATATGCTGCATCATGTGCAGTTGGACTAAACATATGAAATGATTGACAGTGGCAACAAGTCGTGCGACAGCTTGGACATCGATTCGCGCAGGAGCCTTTAGTAGAGGAAGATGGCATTCCAGATTCAGTGTTTGGAAGGGTAAAAGGCTCGTGCCATAGGACTCCTCTAGAGGAAGGTCTGCAGGAAATGTAGGATGCAGTTGTGTATATAAAGGTTTTTGCATAGAAGAGGACGCTGTACCAGCTTCCAATGTTTGCAAGACCTTGCAAGTCTGCTCCTCTACAGCCTAACAATATGGAGGATTCCTACTCACCGGTCACCGACAAATTGGCCGACTCTACTTTACGTGGTCAACTTCCAGATTTGATATGCCGTAAGGGCCGCAAGTAATGCTGTTGTGTTTGCGATATGACCTTGAAAAAAGAAGTTGCTGCATCATGATGCTGATTCCTCCAGGTAATTCCTGTAGTTCAATCAGTAGTTTGCAACCACAGCTGATGACCGAATGCGAAAGAGACTACTGGAGTGCACACCTCTTCTACAAGGCATGGCTCTGGGAGAAGTGGGATCTGGGGCGTTGCGCTAAACTTGGAGAACACTGGCTGACGCTTGAACTCCGCCACCCATTGCAGATCAATTCATACGGATGTCACTGCGTGTCATTGCAGTCTTGCAATTGGTTTGAGTGCGTGGACAATCTGCATCCTTCTCTAAGTGCCCCTTTGGAACTCCTGCAAACCATGGTTTCTCCAAGTTTATCCTCCTTAGAGATCGACCCCAATCCAAAAACAAGTCCAAATTTCCGTTCGGCTCGGTTCATGATGATGAATGCTTTACAAGTTTAGTATGCGTCTTCGTGTTGATCCATCAGATCTGGTTGCTTGTGGTTGCTTGGCATTCACAACAACGGGCATGTTCACCCAGCAAAAGCCATTCGGCCGAAGAGAACCTCGGCTTGGCATGTTCACCCGCCACCCACGCCCCCCCTCCGCACCGGTTTGCTCCGTCCCCACTTCGGTCCGGCACACCGAGCAGAGATCCGATGGTCACCGGGCGAGGCACATTCTGCGGCCATTTGGGAGAATTATGGCTGGAAGGTCTGAAGCTCGGTTCAGACGGTTGGCGCGGTCGTTGGTCGACAGTCAAAGGCTGCTTGTTTCAGGCGTTCTATATGCGTATATGCATGCGTATGAGATGATTTATGTTGTTGTTGTTGTTGTTACCCTGTCTCCCAAAGTTATTGATATTATTGAACGGTTTATAATACCATCTAGGAATCTAGTCCTTTATGTTTCTGAAGTTCATTGTCGCTCGATTTTGCTGTGAGGTGCTTCAGAAAGAAGGCTTTCACAGCGCATGCCTGGATGCTTGGCAGCACTGCTGTGCAGCACTCGGTCCAGTCGCGCCAGCGGCGGGGATTCCCTTGGTACAACGGGCATCATCCGAGACAATCCATGTATGAAAGATTCAATTATGCATTCGGGTGGTTTAAAGTTTCTTTAATTCCATACATGGATGGTTGGGGCCCAGTTGGGGCATGAAGAGTAACAAGACGCACCAAGAGTGTTTTGGGACTTGTTGTATAACATGTAGACAGGACAGGACAGCAAGAAATCTCGTTTGACTGATTCTTACGGAATGAGTGAAGAAGTTGCGCCCGTCTTGGGGTGAGATTCCTGAACAGATCCCCATTCCACGCGCTGGTCGCATCAGTCAGATGTCATAGGCTTTCCCTTTCCCAGTGGATCCAGGCGTTGACATCGCCGAGACGTAACCAGACCTTGACCGACTCAGGGCCCCTGGAGGCTGCCTGGGGTCCACGGGTATGTCCTGAGGACGGCGGTGGGCGCTTCTACTTCGCCCTCCTGGCATCCAACATGCTCTCGACTGATCCCTGGTCTTCACATCACGAGGATAACTGCGGAAGGTGGTTTGATGAGTCACAAAGACAGAGGTGTGTTGAAGCTGGCAGAATTTGGGTTGCCCAACGATGGTCTCCCCATTGTTGCCCATGAGAGAACAGGACGCAGTTGACACTTGGTTGGAAGCAATAGTTAAACATTAAAGTCTTACATTAAAGCTTTTGTCAGCACTTGCCAATCACGTCCTCAAGAGAATGGAGACCTTTTGTTGCTGGCGACCGAGCTTGGCCTTTTTAAGGGGGTTCATTGGTTCAACCAAAGCGGAGGAGCTTTGGTGTTCCACAAGTGTTGGGGTTTCCAGTCCCCTAGATCCAGCTTCGCATGATTGGAAGGCCTAGTGCTGAGCCACCATGACTGGAACTACAAAAGGTTCTTTGTTATTGTATTTATGAAGGTTACCTAGGAAGAGTCAATGCAACAAGGATGTACAGTAACTACTTTGATGAGGTTTGGTTTTGCAAAATGGATTGTGATGTTCTTTTTGAGATACCTTTTTTCTCCCACCCCTGCTCCTGCCTCCTGGAGGCTGTGTTTTGTTGAAGTCAAGGAAAGTCCTTTGCTTGTGTCATAAAGGAAGGGAAGAGGAAAGGGAACATGAAAAGGAAATGGAAAGAAGAGCAGGAATAGAAATTAGAAACACATGAAAATGGACACGACACATGAAGCAAACCTGAAACCAAATGTTAGAACCATGGTCGAACCAATTCGGCAGGGTCGCGAGTACCTGAAAGGAGCTGAGCTCTCCTTGCGACAAGGTGGCCCTCCTCAGACGAGAGAGATTCTACAGCTCAGGGCTCAGTAGTTTCAGAGTAGACGGTACAAACCCAAAGATGTTTGTTTTTTGGTGTCCATCTATATCAACTAATTACCCAACTTGGGAGTTGTGCCATCTACGGCCATCCACTCTGAAACCAATGTGCATGAACCACGTAGAAGCCACCACAAAACATGCCCACTGCAGCCGGATGGCCATGCTCATGAAGGATGAAAGGTACACAAGAACCATGTGCTGACATAGTCCATGTGTAAGAAGAGAGAGAGAGAGAGGGAGACACACGTCAATTCTCCAATCCCTCCGAAATTAACCTGTTGGAAGAACATACCTCCTGTATTTTGTGCCCTATACAGATCCCATCAGATACCCCTCGTTTGTGACTTGACCCTCTTGGCTCTGATCGATTTCTCCCAAGGATCTGGGTGTTTGTGTCCCTGCCAGCTGTTCCTTGGACAGCAGGGTGGCCTTGGACAGCGGTTCCTTCTCGTTGATGTCATCATGCCTGATCTGCCTGAAGAAAGCACTGGTTTTCAAATAAGTAAGGCGAGGCAAACATGTTTGGGACATATCTTGCCAGAACCACTCAACAGGACCCGCGTCCACGTCAAATGTCCTTTCAACCAAAGTCAGTGAACCGCGTCCCATATGAAGAAAAATGTACGATAGACCAAGACAAAACTGGTTGCATTACACCAAAAATTATGTTTATGAAGAAAACTGCAACAGGTTAACTTTGAAGAGACCATTCAGGAGGATGCACGTATATTCAATGCAGCCAATGCCAGATACTTTAAAATAAAGCAGGCACGCTTGGATACGCCAACGCCTTGCTTCCGCTTGTGACATGTCGTCCAAGCAGGGTAGGGCAAAGAAAAGCAAGCATAAAGGTAGACCAAAGTTCCAAAGGACTAAAGTATGAACATGTGACATGTGTCAGTAACTCCTTTGCAGTTGTGGGTATTTTGTGTGTTCCTCTTGCTGCGTTGCCTATGCCACGGGTCTTCAGAAATTTGGTATAGCTTCTGCTCCTTTGACGAGAGTACCTAAACCTTCAGCAGGTAGCTGAACTAGGTACCTAAGCCTGGACGTCTAAGGTAGCCTTGCCCTTGTGATGTCTCTGTCTAAGGTAACGAAGACGAGATCACGTGGACCGTCTTCCCCTCGCTTTTCAAGCACCTCGGGGCAGGCAGAAGGGGCAGAGCCAAGCAGGTGGGACAAAACTTTGCTGAGCCTTGGGCAGGGGCGTTGCTTCCAATCCCCGAATTGCCCTCAGAGAGCAAGGCAAAGCACCATGCTTCGGTCCATCCAGAATTCCGAACCATCGTCACCGGTCTTTAAGTGAAGAAAACAACCTGGACCGATGTGCTTTTGATTCCCATTGGAGCCAGGTGTTGTGGTTCTTCACCCATTTGCAGCCCGACCGAGTGACGGTTGCACTCCGACGAACGACATGGAAGTGGCACCCCACCCTTCCGTTGGTGAAGGCAAGTAGTCTTCCGTTCGGTGCCATAGTCCACTTCTTAGTGAAGCAGAGTGGCAGAGTGCTCTAAGAGATTGCAAGTTTTTTTTTTTTGGAGCAGACAAAGCACAG